CAATGAAGGAGAATACTCATATTTATAGGGGGAAATGTAATCATGGTGTATATCAGGGGCTAATTGTGAGCCATACAATTACCATATTGAAATCATAATTATGATTTCTTATTTATATTAACAATGATGATAATGTCTTCTTGATCATGAATAGTTGGAAGATGACTATTCAATATATTTCAACATCCCCCCTTGAATGGTCATCTTCTAATTATTCTGGGGTATTAGTTTCATAGTATTATAATGTACTGTCTCATTAAAAACCTTTGTCAAGAAAAAACCCAGTGGGATAAAACCTGACGAAGGGAAAAAGAGTGCAGTGCATTATATTACTCCCTCTCAATTTAAATTAACATATATCTCGAAGACGATACATTCCAATTTTATGGACCGGTTCTTCAAATTTCTTTGGTGCCAATGACTTTGTGAACAAATCAGCAGGGTTGTCGCATGACTTGATCGATTTGTTTGACATCAACCGTTCCGTCTTTCTCAAGATCATGTGTGGAGAAAAGTTTTGGTGCTAAATGCTTTGTTCTGTCCCCTTTGATGTAACCTCTTTGATCTGAGCTATACATGCTATATTATCTTCATAAATCACAGTAGGATTAGAAGTAAAAGATTTTATACCACATTCATTTTGTATGTGCTGGATCATTGATCTCAACCAGACACACTCTCGACCTGCTTCATAAAGAGCAATTAATTCTGCATGATTTGATGATGTTGCAGTTAATGTTTGCTTCATTGATCTCCATGATATAGCGGTATCACCATAGGTGAATAAATATCCTGTTTGTGATTTTGCTTTTTGTGGATCAGACAAGTATCCTGCATCGGCGTAGCCAATTAAAGTGGCATTTGCACCATTCTTGAAATACAATCCAAGATTGATTGTTACCATTGAGATATCGGAATATATGTTTGACACCATTCCAATGTCTTCTTGTTGGGGAAGAACTGTACTTGGCTAATAAATTTACAGAAAAAGCAATATCTGGTCGAGTATTATTAGCCAAATACATTAATGCTCCAAACGCACTAAAATATGGTATTTCGGGACCAAGGATTTCTTCATCATCTTCACAAGGTCGGAAAGGATCATCATGCTCATTGAGAGATCGAACCACCATTGGAGAATTGAGCGGGTGTGCTTTATCCATGTAAAACTGCTTCAAAAGTTTCTCGATATAATTTGATTGGTGAATAAAAATACCATTTCTCAAATGTTCAATTAGAATGCCGAGACAAAATTTTGTTCTCCCAAGGTCTTTCATTTCAAATTCTTTCATGAGATATTTTGCAGTATTTTCAATTTCATTAGAAGTTCCGATTATATTCAAATCATCAACATATACTGCAATTATGGTGAATCCTGATTCGGATCGCTGAATGAAAACACATGGACTAATAAGATCATTTTTATATCCTTCTTTAATGAAATATTCACTGAGACGGTTATACCACATGCGTCCAGATTGTTTTAATCCATATAATGACTTTTGCAATTTTATGGAAAATAAATTTCGAGATTTCGAGCTATAAGCATCAGGTATTTTAAAGCCACTAGGAATTCTCATATATATGTTTGTATCGAGTGAACCGTATAAATATGCGGTCCAGATATCCATCAACTACTGGAGAATATGTCTCATCATTATCGATTCCTGTCATTCGAGAAAAACCTTGGACAACAAGTCGGGCTCTGTATCTAACGATTTCATTTTTCTCGTTGCATTTACGCACAAAAACCCATTTAAAACCGACAGGTTTTACGCCTTTTGGCGTATGGACAATTGGTCCAAAAACATTGCGCTTTTCTATTGATTTTAATTCTACCTAAATTGCTTCATTTCATTTTGGCCAATCATTTCTACGACGACATTCGTCAATAGATTTAGGCTCATTGTCATCGTGTTCATTCATTATATCTGTGGCGATGGCATATGAAAATATATCATTAACATCAACATCATTTCTACTCCATTGTATATATTCCATTAGAAACGTAATTAATTGAAATTTCGAAATTATCGACGTTTCTATCTTTATCTGGAATATTTACCTCTTCGAAGGTGATTGGATTCTCTTTTGAGGTATCTTTATTATTGATGTTATCTTCAAGGCCGATATTTTCAAAATGTTCATTTTTTTCTTGAGAAGACTGAACTTCTTTAGCACCACAAACTACAGCTTGCTGTTTAAATTTTCTTGGTTTCAAATCTCTTGAACCAAGTGGTCTACCACATTTTTTTACGTATCATAGATTCATTAGCAAGAGTTCTTTCGCTAATCTCCACAGGAATTTCTATTCGAGAAGGAGCATTCATAGTTGGAACATGTGACTTTGTCACTTTCTTTGAGTCTGTGAAAGCATCAGGCAAATGGTTGGCAACATTTTGTAAATGAATAATCTTTTGAATTTCTTGTTCACAAGCATTTGTGCGAGAATCGAGAAAAGATAAATTTGTTGCATTCCAAGTAATATCTTTCGTACGTGGGTCCATTTCTTTAATATCTCTCCCTAAGGCTGGGAATACTGTCTCATCAAAATGACAGTCATCGAACCGCACGGTGAATAAGTCACCGGTCATAGGTTCTAGATAATTAATAATTGAGGGTGATTTAAAACTAACATAAATTCTCAGTCTTCTTTGAGTACCCATTTTAGTACGATAAGGTGGAGCAATTGGTACATACCGGAACAACCAAATATTTTTAGGTGTGATATATTAGGTTCTTTACCAGATATTAATTGTAATGGGGAAAATTTATGATATGCCGTTGGACTAAGCCGAATTAAATTTGCAGCATGCATTATAGCATATCCCCATGTAGATGATGTTAATCTGGATTTCATCAATAATGGTCTAGCAATTAATTGTAATCGCTTAATTAAGGATTCGGCAAGACCATTTTGTGTATGTACATGTGGAACTGGATGTTCCACATCAATCCCAATTGACATGCAATAGTCATTAAAAGATTGGGATGTGAATTTTCATGCATTATCAAGTCAGGTTTTCTTTATCAAATAATTCGAAAATTGTGATCTCAAACGAATAATTTTACAAGTAGATTTGCAAATGCGAAATTTCTAGTCGATAAAAGACTGACGTGTGACCAACATGTTGATGCATCAATAAGCACCATAAAATATCGAAAGGGTCCACACGGAGGGGTAATTGGCCCACAAATATCTCCTTGAATTCTTTCTAAAAATGCAAGAGATTCAACTCCAATTTTGTATAAAGATGGCCTGATAATTAATTTGCCAAGAAAATAGGTAGTGCACGGAAAATCACTTGATTGTGGAATCTTGACATTAGTTAATGAATGTCCAAGTGAATTTTCAATAATTTTGTGCATCATAGTGCTGCCTGGATGACCTAAACGGTCATGCCACAAGATAAAAGAATTGTGGGCATAAATTTTAGATACCACATTTATCTCATTTGGACTGATATATGTAAAATACAATCCCGAGGAATACGCTGACATTTTTTCAGAAATGTATTTATTGCCAGATCTATTTGTCGTTAGACATAAATATTTTTTCTGATTTTCAGACATGGTTTAAATATGAAAATCATTTAGGCGCATATCTATAAAACTCAAAAGATTTCTTCGTGATTTACTGGAGTATAAAGCGTCTTTAATTATTAATTTTGTCGCTTTTGGGAGAATCACACATGTTATTCCAGAACCTTTAATGAGTTTAGCAACACTTGAGATTGTATTGACATTAGCATCAACTAATTTCATATGAGAAAAATAATCTCTACGTCTCAAAATGTTGTGCATTGTGGCACTGTCTATTAAACACTGTTCCAAGCCACTTGGAGAAATTTCAGTTAACTTCATATCTTCGCGAAGATAAAAATGAACAAGTATGAGTTCAATATTGTAATATAAATTGTACTTCACTTAATAGTACATTAAATTGTGCATAACTTTCACGTTAAAAATAAGCGCTTTAAATAAAAATTACATCCAACAATTTTTTATTTTAAAATATACTCTTGTACGTATTACATAACAAAGAGATAATAAAGTGAGGTACACTATTCTGACTTTTTATAAGAGAAGTAATTTAACTCACATATTTAATTTACTTCTTATTAATTTCTACCTCATCATTTGCGATTAAAAACAATCATGAGTGCCGTTATGAGTGGTTATTCCCGGTAATTGACAGAAACATACATAATAACTTCGGTTCAAGTTACTGTCATACCAATTGTTAAGGGGCTCTCTTAACAATCAGAGACCTTTCAACTTGATAACCAAAAGTCCTCAAAGTACAAAACTTATTTTCTACTCCCTTTATGAGAGACATTTTTTTAAAAAATATGAGCACATTCAAATGTCAAATAATATGATGATATTGATCGATATATTATACTCCGTGTTATTGTAAGATATATTCTGTACTATCTTGCATTCTTGCCCTGCTGGGAAGATGATGATTTCAGGGATGTGGAGCAAATTCGTGTTGTTAACGTGTTATAGAATGGAAGGAAATAAACAGAAGATCAGGGAGAGAAAGTATAATCTGAACACTCAGTGAGAAAGATGTTATTAAGAGTGATAATGTCGTGTTTACAATGAAGGAGAATACTCCTATTTATAGGGGGAAATGTAATCATGGTGTAAATCAAGGGCTAATTGTGAGTCATACAATTACCATCTAGAAATCATAATTAAGATTTGTTATTTATATTAACAATGATGATAATGTGTTCGTGATCATGAATAGTTGAAAGATGACTATTCAATATATTTCAACATTGTCCACTTTTGCTTGGATTTATGGATACTTGTATTTTAGATGACGCTTGAAGATTCCGTTAACGTCGTCAATCCAAATGCTGGGGGCAAGGCATTGTAGAGCTGCTCCGTTAGGAACTCGTCATACCGTTCGATCAGGAGCACCCTCTTCGTCCGATAAAAATCTAACGGCCACGCAGACGAATGGCGTTTCTGTACGCGAAAGGAGTAGAGATAATTTTCCTTGGGGTATATATAACAGAGGATGAGGAAGGAGGAGGAGCTGTTCTGTTCTTTTATAGAGTCCTCTCTCTCTCTGTCTTCTCATCTCACTTCCACCGAAAGTTTCATAGAAAACAGATCATTTTCGAAATTCCCGGTGAGTGATTGCTCATCTTCAATTTATCTACAGAAAGTGGAACAATGTTTCAGTTTTCCTTCAATTAGAGAAAATCATCAGAATTATCTCGAGAATTCTGTATTCTGAATTCGTGGGTTGATGTATTTTGGTTAAAACTTGTTATGAATTTTGAAATTCACTCCGATGCCGTTTTTTATGGACAGATACAATCGCAAGAAGATTTTTGCTGATATTGAGGTGGAATTGGCTTTCAGTTCTTCTGCCGATTTCAATAGGTTCGCTCATGAACATCTGTGGATTGATTTTTTCTCTTTTCGATTTCATGGTACCATAGCTTGACGAATGATTTGGTTCCGCTTTGGTTCTACAGGCGCGTTCTGATAAATCCGGATGAGATGTGCAAGTCTATCTGAAGTTCTTCTAGATCAGATTCTGTATTTGCGAAGCTTTGAGTAATGAAGTTCGGAAATGTCGCCGTTCTACTGAAGAACCACCGTGAACGGACCCGAGAAAGTGAAGAAATCGTAAATCTGTTTGTGATACCTGTTGTTTCTTAGTCAATTCCGATGAGTAATCAATCCGAAGATGATGGTTCTTTGATGACATAGGTAGGAACTGCAACTCCTTTTCGTGAGACTTCGAACCACCCATTTAGCAGCTGTATTAACGCACGCTTTGCGTTTCTCACCATTTCTGATGATCTGAAACATATTTGTGCTTGGATATGCAGATTGAGGAACACGGCGCTAGAAGATTTTGAAAGGATTTCATGATTCTCATAGTTTCGTCCAAGTTGTAGTTTGGAATCTGGAAGGAATATAATTTCTCTCGCCTTTTGAAGATTGGTAGTTTGAGGTAATGATAGATTGATAGTAGAGCCGCTCGGGTCGTCATCATCCCTTACCCTCTGTTCTCCTTCTTCTGTTCAATCTCATTGGTCCTAGTCACATTATTTTCAGGAAGATTGCCAGTAAATCCAATCGCATTTTATTCCATTACTGTAAAGTCCATCCGATTTCCGACTTGGATCTCTGCACCACAAGGAATTTAGAGGTTTCCTGAAAGGAAAAAAAAAACTTTTTTAGATTTTTCGCTTCTTTAATTCTCACAAGTCACAATCTTCATGTTTTTCAACCGTCTTCTTTTGCAGAAATTGTTAATTCAAAATAATCTCGACAACTTTTCCTTGTTTCATTTCTGATGTCCCTGTGCCCTGATCTATTTCGTATTGGAAGTCGTTGTTTTCCTTGCACTCTGTCAAGCCATTGCATTTAATGCGTTTCTTCCGTTTTGGCTATGAATTTGCTGAAATTTACCTGATAAAGATGAATACCGAAAGTGTTTTCTGGCGCATTTGGTTTGAACTTTGATCTGATTTATTTTTAAATTTTTTACAGTTGTGTTAACTGTAAAAGCTTACCTCGGTTAAATTATTGTACCCGTTACAGAGGTGTATAAAGGAGGTAGATGGAGAAGAATTACAGAGATGGATTGCTGCTGAGGTCAGCGAATTGTCACCGTGACGAGGACAGGTCGGGGACTAATACGACGTCGTCAGACTTCGTTTTGCAGTGGGGAAATCGGAAGCGGTTACGATGCATGAAGGCCCACAATAAGAATCCTGGCATCGCGCGAGCAGATCACAGCTGTTGCAGTGAACCGTCTAGTTCGGCCCCGGCTCAGAGAGCTAGCGGTCTACCGGATCGCCGGGTTGGTAGATCCGACCCGATTAAGGATTCCTCGCACCGTCAGCTACACGGCTATTTGAACCTGCGCCAACTTCCGGGGTCGAAAGCTCATCGTATTCTCAGGAATCTCAGGTACCGTAATTTTGCGACTTCCTTTGTTTGCTTTTATTGCATTGCATTTATGAGCGCACGGCTACTGAAGTTATGTTAATCTTATGTAATTTTAATCTCGTGTATCTATTTAATTAGTCTATGAATTAAAGTATTATGAAACTGAAATCAATCAAATTAAAAAACATTTATATCGATTTTTAACCTGTGGACCCGTTCCAATTTCACACTTTTTGTTTTTTTGAAAAAACATGACCTCCATATTCAAATACTCCATATCTAATTATTTTGACAAAACTTCCCAATTTCTATTTGTAAAGAGTGGCGGATCTAGTGTTTACAATTTGGATGTTCAAAATTACATATTTTCTCTTCAAAATATTAAGAGAGCCTGTTTGGTACTCCAGTTTTTCGGCTTATCAGTCAATTTTTTCATCAAACATAACCTTTGACTTGACGTGCTGAATTGTGTAATAATAAGAAAAATGAGTTTGAATTGACTTTTCTGACTGTATTGGTTGAAGTTACTGTAGATGACTATATTAGTTATTTTTTCTTTATTCTATTAATCAAATATATTTTAAATATAATTTTTCATAAATTAGCATAATCAACCAATCCAGTCATTTCAGCTAGAACTTCATAATTTTTAGCAGAATCTGTCGGTTCAGCCGATTTTAGTGTTACCAAACGGACTCTAAATGCTTCTACGACTTCATTATCTGTCCAATTTTTACATCTCTAATTTTCAAAATTTTACTCTATTTTTAGCTCCTAGAGTTTTACATTTGGGTTCCCTAAAAACGGTAGAAGTAACTAGAACAAGTAAAGGGTCAGTTTGGTCCTCAAAGTTGCATAAAAGGGGTCAAATAAGTTCTTATATAGAAAATTATGTCCGGACGTACCATTTGAGGTGATTTCCGGTGAAATTTTTTGATATTTTTTTTTTGAACATCTTATTCATTAAGTCTAGTTCACTCATACCAAATTTCAGCTAAAAATTCAATCGGAAATGAATTCTTGAAGATAAGTGCGCTTTTTTAACTGCACAGTTATCTTCAAGAATTCATTTGAATGTCTTTCCGATCGAATTTTTATCTGAAATTTGGTATGAGTGAACTAGACTTAATGAATAAGATGTTCAAAAAAATTCATCAAAAAATTACACCGAAAATCGCCTCAAATGGTACGTCCGGACATAATCTTCTATATAAAGACTTATTTGATCTCTTTTATGTAACTTCGAGGATCAAACTGACTCTTTACTCTAAATAGAACTACAGCTCATATGTTGGATGAGATCTGGGTTGGGGAAAATGGAAACTAATAATCCAACCTTTTAGCGGTCTTCTTTCAATAATCCCACTTTTTGATTATTCATGAATAATCCAACCTTTGCACATCATCTTCATTCACTGATTCCTGACCGGTTGATGACCTGCTATTCCAAGCTATTTTCTTATCTTTGCAAATCATTATACCATAAATTTCATATTTCACAAAGATAATATTTTGCAAAGATAAGAAAAATAACTTGGAATAGCAGGTTATTAACCGATCAGGGACCAACGAATGAAGATGGGGTGCAAAGGTTGGATTATTCATGAATAATCAAAAGGTGGGATTATTGAAAGAAGACCGCTAAAAGGTTGGATTATTAGTTTCCATTTTCCCATTTGGGTTGTATTACTTGAATGTGTTGAGAGATGAGTGATATGTGACTGGACTGAAATTATGAATTGGGCTGATTGTTTTTTCCTGATGGTATTGGGCTGATAGTTGACAGATGACTCATAGTTAACCAATAATTTATACGGGGTACTATGTACAATACACCGAATAAGTTTGGTTTGTTGAGTTGCTTTGATATACACCGAATAAAATGAAAGTGAAATAGAAGTTCGTAAAATAGCTTGTCAAATAAGTTTAGATCTATCGAATTAGCTTCCCAACCAAATGCAACTCCTTTAAAAGAAGCTTATAGCCAAACTTTTACCAAAACATCGAATTAGCTTCCCAACCAAATGGGTATTCTTTAAATGAATTACTTTTCATTTATCTTCATTTTGTCAATACTTATATCTCTTGTAATTTGCTCAAGTATAAGGATGCTTTCTTTTAGATTGAAATTTACTGACATGGTCTGGTCTGTCCGGTAAACATCTAGTCTCTGTGTATTTTACAACAACGTAAGTCTGATTTGATCATAGACATAAAGTCGTCCAAAAGAAAACATTCGACGTATAACTAATTAATACTTTCAATCCTATCAAATAAATTGAACTTATTGAAGTACATTGAAAGAACGTATGAATTTTTTTGAAAGAAGTGATTCTGTATACTCCGTATGATTTTCAAGCTCAAGAGTTGAATCAACTTGTAAGTCGTTTGTTTCAAAATGATCTCACCTTCCTTTCTTATTGACCCCCAAAACTTCTTTTAACACATGCTTAAAAGTATGTTACAAATATAGAGGCTTATCAGACTTATCAGTCAATTTTTTCACCAAATACAATTTTGCTTTCGCGCACCGAATTGGATAATAAACAGAAAAAGTAAGGTTGAAGTTACTTTTCTGGCTGCATTGGTTGAAGATACTGTAGATGACCATTAGAGCTATTTTTACATATAATTTTTTTTATTTTATTAATAAAATATATTTTAAACATAAAATTTTTTCTTAAACCAGCAGAATCAGACAATGCAACCACTTCAGCCAAATCAGCAGATTTTTGTGTTACCAAACAGGCTCATAGTGTTTCTTATTTTATTTTTCTGCGGTTCTTTCATGAGTTCTTATTGAGTTCTTATTGACTCCCAAAACTTCTTTAACCACATGCTTAAAGTATGTTACAAATATAGTGTTTCTTATTTTATTTTTCTGCGGTTATTTTAATCTCATGAGACCATTTGACAACACTCTTTTTCAGTTTATTAGGTTTATCAGTCGACTTTTTCACCAAACAAGTAACTTTTGCTTTCACTTGCTGAAATGTGTAATAAGTTTACTTGAAGTTACACTTCAGCCACAACTTCATAAATTTCACCAGAATCAGTCAAATAAGCCAATTTTCGTGCTATCAAACGTGCTCATTTTGTTTTGTTAGTTCCTCAAAGATCATAAAAACCTTAGGTTACAATCATACAACTCTTTTTAATAGATTTTGTATATTAACTGATTGTACTTCATAACATCAGTTTTTACGTTTCAGTCATACAATATTAAGGGTCAATTTTACAAATGCTTAAAAAAGCGCTTCTCGATTTTTTGGAAAAACAGGAGCTTTTTTATACTATAGCAATACACTTTAAATTAATAAAGTGTTTTGTAGCTGCTTTTTGGAATGAATTTATATTTCCTAAAGTGGATGTTCTGCCTATTTTGTTACGACCAAAAAAATGTGAGACAATTACTGTGATATGAATGAAGTATTAGTAAGGATGTTTTCTTTTGGACTAAAATTCACTGGTCTGTTCTTGTCCGGTCTAATAAACGTCTGCTCATTTTATAATTATGGAAGTCTGGTCTGATCTGATTAGCGGCTAAAAACCGCTTAAATGAAAAATCCTTAAACTCCATCTTATATTATAGAATATGAAAGCGACACATATTTACTACGGAGTATTTTTTGTAACGATGTGTTTTGTTAAGATTAGATTTAGTGAATAATAACAAATGAGATTAATTCAAACAACCTAAAAGCTTAATTAGAATCATTCTAGATAATGTGGCAAGAACAAACTTGAAAGGGAAACTGTCAATGTGGTCATCTTAAAAATTAATTAGATCCTTATACTTAAAAAATCAATCAGATTCCCAAACATTGGGAAAACGTTCAATTGGATCTATTTGCAGGTTACATGTTAGCAAGTCACCCGATGACGTGACAAAAAAAATGAATTTGATTGTACAATTTCACAAAGATAAAAAACTTGATTGATTTTTTCTAAAGTACGGAATACCTAATTAATTTTTTCCAAACTTTATTGACAATTTTTCCAAACTTGGAAATAAGAACTTTGTAAAAAGATTATGACGGTAGTAATAGATGCCGGAGAATAAACGTTACGCGTTAAGTAGTTAAATACACACTATTGGCAACATGAGAGTAAATCATAATTCTATCTACCACACAATCAACAAAGACGCAGGGTAAGTGATACGCAACATGAATCAATTTCATTATTTCAATAGATTTCTATGTGACATATTTCGATTTTTCGATAAATCTTTATAGGCACATAAAAAAATCGACCTGCGAGAAAGACCTCAACTGATTTTTATTAGTTGAGGTTATGAGTTATGACTGATTTATTGCATCGGCAATTAACATTTCATAAACGAACAGAATAATCATTTGTTAATTAAAAGCCTACAGTGACCTAGTGGTACGGGAATCAGGTAGGGGCCTTGTAGCTGTAATGCTCAGCACTCCATCGTGCCTAAGTTGTCATATCAATCCATCAAATTTGTGGGGCCAATTCCTCTTGGTACAAACCAGACACCCCTGCATCGTCCGCCACGTGTACGCCTTTTCCCGCAGGACCTGAATCCGACGGCCTCCTCCTTCCGTCTCCCACTATTATCTCTCTCCTACTCATTCGGTTACCTTTTCCTTCTCGGACACACCGTTTCGTTGCAGATCTCACACACGCGCTCCTTTCATTCCCATTCATAATAAAAGAATAGAATCCCCTTTATCCTGCGATCTAGGGCGTAATCGGTAATTCCAATCTTATTTATTGATTTATTGATTTGGAGTCGCACTTTATTATCATTGATGTTGTTATTGGAAGTGATGATGATCTGATCTCATTTATTGGTGTAGGAATTCAGAGAGTTCAATCGCAGCAATGAGAGAAAGGAGCAACGGGTTGAGGAATTCGGCCTCTCCTCCCGATAGGGGTGCACATAACCATGCCAGGCCCAGCCCAAATAATGACAACCACCACGGCGGCGGAGGTGGGTCCGTGTCGTCGGAGACTGCTCATGAGAGCAAGAAGGGACCGTCCTCCTCCTGCAGTGACACGGTTCCGATGATTTGGCCGCCGAAGTTTGTGATTGCACTTACCAATAAGGAGAAGGAAGAGGATTTTATGGCCATCAAAGGATCTAAACTTCCTCAGCGTCCCAAAAAACGTGCCAAGCTTATCCAGCGTACTCTCAACGTTAGTTGTCCCCGTCCTTTAACTTCTTGCTTTTATGATATTTTTTCATTTTCATTTTTAGGAAATGTTTTTCTATCTATTTTAATAGAAATATTTATTATTTTTATAATCTGTTGTTAGTGCACCGTATTTAGTAAAGTTCATTATATTGACATCAAGTAAAATGTGATTATCTGATGATACATGACATTGCAAATAAGAATTTGGTCAATTTCTCAAAAATCAAAATAAAGCAATTTTGGTACTCATTTCATGTGCCGACATGACGTTATGGATGAATTTGGTGACATTCGGTAAGTTTTGTGCCTTTCTTCCGACAATCAGGGGGTGATTCCAAAACCTAAAGATCACTACTGGGTCCACAATAAATTGTGACTAGTACCTTTTTTGGACTATTTATTTTAGGGCCATATCTTTTGGTTTGTTTTTTCACACTTAATTATGTATAGCTATTGATATCTATAATTGTGGTACTTCATAATTGCATTTAAATGTTGATAAAAAAAATTGTATTTAAACGCTTGTATTTAATTTCATCGCTTTGTTTTGTACTGCAGTTGATCAGCCCGGGGTCATGGCTGTGTGATCTATCACTCGAACGATACGAAGTAAGAGAGAAAAAGGTGTCAAAGAAGGTATTGAAAACGTCGTTTATCATTTAGTGCTTTGCTGCATTTTTCTCTCTCGTTTTTTTCTTAACAAATTAGTGATTTAAATGTTTCAGAGGCCAAGGGGTTTGAAGGCAATGGGTAACAGAGATTCCGACTCCGAGTAAGGAAAAGCTATATAAAAAAGAAGGCTGTGAATCGCAGCACCACCACAATGTTAGCTGAATTAAGTATGCTGTAATTCATGGGTTTTAACCTCGAGGAAAAATGGATGATTTTGATAAGAAGATTTATTTCCCTTCTTTTAACTTTTCCCTTTTCTCTTGCACTGGCAATTAAATAAATTCAAAACATCTTTTAGGCAGTACGGAGTAGTTGACAAGAAAGTTAGCCTCGGTCATAAGATTACTGCATTTTGAATTTTGTTTACAAAGGAAACAAAGAAATCGTTAATTCAAGAAACAATGGCATGGATATTACTTTGGGGGTTTGGCTACACAAAAATATGACCAATTTTAATTTTGGACAAAAAAGTGAGTCAATACACCCATATGCCTTTGCCGCATCTCTCTCTTCGACGTTTCTTCTTACTGGCCTGTTCTTCGCCGCATGCGTTCTTCCCCCGCTGCCTCCCTGCCGCTACTCTTCTCCTCCATTGGCTGCAATTGAAACCAAATGCCCCCTTTGTCATCCGAGCTCGATGGACGTGCCTCCACCAGAACTGTCGTCCTCGATGGGAGATGCCTTCGCCAGTGCCGGATTTGGTTTCGTCGATAGATGACAATTCATTTTTGGGGCTTCCAGTTCTGGTTTTGCTAAATTCCGTGACAACCACTCCGATTTGGAGCAGCAAATGCCGGACACGTCATCCTTGATGTCGGAGAGGGCCTGAGGGAACTATAGTGGTGAGGCTTGGGACAGGGAGTAGGGGGTTGAGGGCTGGATGAGGACCTGGTGTATAGTGTTAGCTAGGGGCGTAAAGTGGTGGGGGCTGGGTGGCAATCTAGTGCACGGGGATAATGGTTGGGGGCTGGGGAGCTAGTGTGTGAGCTTTGACAGGTTGGGACAGGGCAAGGTCGACATCTATGGACGTGGCAGAGGTGGCGGCTGTGGGTGTGGCAGGGGCAGTGGCGGTGGACGGTGCAGGGGCGGCAACGGTGGATAGGGCAGCGGCAGTGTGGGATGTGCAGGGGTGGCAGTGGTGGTTTGGGTTATGTGGCTAGAAAAGTGTATTGTTGTTGTTGGCGGAGTCATTGTAACGGCGTCATTGTGGCTTGCGGCGGTCACCTGTCGGAGGAAGTAGTGGATGTCAATTTGTTCGTGTCCCTGTGCATAATTTGGGACAGAAATGTCACTGCGAAAATGTCACTGAGGTGTCACTATGGTCGTTGGCGGCGGCGACCGGGGCAATGATGGCGGCAGTGACACGGGCTGTGGCAGTTACACAGGCAGTGACATGGGCAATGGCGGTGGCAGTGACATCCAACAGTGACATGTATGTGGTGCAGTGATATGAATAAGCATCTTGGTCACATTTTTGTCCAAATATAAAAGTGGTCACTTTTTTGGTAAGTAGCTTTAATATAGTAATTGTTGGGATATATTATCCCGGCCTATTACTGTTCAGGAGCCGAAGACATTATCCAGTACGGAGCCCAAGCAGCTAGGCCCGTTTCGGCCCATTCTGGCCCACTTTAGCCATTTGGGCCCATTCCGGTCCATGCGGCCCGTTAGGGTGGAGAGCCCCCTTTCCCCCTATTTCCTATAAATATGGAGCTTAGCCTCCATGTAAAGGATCCCTTTTTCCCTTCTTCTTCTCCCTCCTTAGCTAGATTAGAACTCCATTAATGGGAGCTTCAATACTTGTACTATGTAATGGTGAGGAGAGACTAATGAGAATGAGAGGGCTTGGACATTAGCCTAAAAAGTCCCGTGGTTTTCTCCCTTTCGGGTTTCCACGTAAAAACTGAGTGTTCATACATATATTTACTATATCGTGTTGGATTAAACTCAACAGTAATATTGCGGGAAAAACCCCTTAATTCAATTGACTACACATTTAATCAATCACTTAAATCGGTCATATTTTATAATTATTCTTGTTGTCAAATTACCTTTCAAAAATACTGATTCTAGTGTAGTTGCTAATTTGCTATATATGGAGCATGTAAAATTGACTTATTAATGTTTGTTAAAAAATAATCACAATAAAACTCCACAGTGAGACGTAGTTAATATGACATTTAGGCTCATTTAGGACCTGTTTGGTAATAGTGTCAACGACTTAAATGACTGAAATTATTGAAGTGACTGATTGAATGTACAATTACCAAAACGAGTATTTGTTCGAGGAAGTGATCCAACTAAGCTAGTCTACGATTCATTCTCCTAGATCCCTGATTCGATTCTCAATGGAATATTTGTACATCGTTTTATTATATCAATTTACAATTAACATCACTGGAGTATGTGAGCCTTTGCAGAAATTGTATAGCAAGGATAGTTGTGTTGTCTCGATACAGGGAGACGTTTTTTACAGCAATTATTAAAATTCACAATTTTAATTGGAAAAAACTTGATTTATCAATGGGCTAAAAAATACAATAAAGTTTCATGAGATGTTTCTAATGACAACACACCAGAGGAAATCTGAAAAGAGAAATTTCGACAGATACTCCTCATCCTTAATTGAAATGTGACTCGGATCTACAACTTTCTCTTTGAGAGATCAACAGTGACATCATAAGATCACAATGTAATTGGCTTTAGAAAGACCTAATACACGTATTTGGAACAATCGAGACAAAGACTTAAGGGAAAAAAACGGGTAGATAATAGAGGAAGAACCATCTAGAAATAAAAAGAAGGGACTAAGAGGTTTTTTAGGGCGGGGCAAGAGACCCGGTCACGTTGGTCAATTTCAGAACGTTCTGGTTCTGTTACAAAATTGTCCTGTTAAATTTTGGAGAAACTTTTTTTGTCCCGTTTCGGTACCGAACAGTTCCAAAACAAAACGGAAACGGGACAAGTAAATATGCCTTGTTCCATCTCGTTGTCCCGAATTCAAAAATGTATGTTGTTGTGAGGTAGTGAGCCTACCATCAATTCAATAAGTAGTCCATATAATAATAACATTCATTTCATTCCACAGCCCAAATACGAATAAGTATAAGGCATTAGTTATCTAACATGTAGAACACCTTAAGGAGTCTAAACTACTAAGTATGAACTATCTTCTATATACTAAAAAAACTCACTTTTACTCCCACATGTTTCACTTCTAATAGTATTGTTTCATCATTTTTTATTTTTGAAATTTTTTATACTATTGTGTGTGTTGGAGTTATTATTGTTGTTACAATTTCTTTCTTGCAACTATCTTATTAATCTACTATTTTTTGTGTTGCATTTATCGTAAATTTCATTGTGTTGCATTTTTATTGTTGTAGTTTTTTGTCATGAAGGTTTTTTATGTTACTTTGTTTTGCAAATCGCTTTACTGTGTTTTTTATGTTACTTTGTTTTGCAAATCGCTTTATACTTTGTTTTGCAAATCGCTTTACTATTCCGTCCCAGTGCCGATCTAAAAGGGACAATGGCGGGACAATGTCTTGTCCCTTACCATTCTATCCCATAATCCTAAAAACCGGGTTCGCACTACAAAAAAATAACGTTATAGTCACGGATTTAGTCACAGACCGCAGTGTAAAAAATCTGTGACTAACAGAGTTAGTCACGGATTTTGTCCGTGACTAAATCCGTGATTGTTTGGGCATGACTAAATTTAGTCACGCCAAATTGTCCGTGACTAAATGTAGTCAATTCACTAAATTAAATAATATGAGAGAATCCAATAATTAACAAATTTACGTCATTTTAACTAAATACAAATTAATTAACATTATGCTTAAATTACACCTACGTTTAACTAATTTTAACTAATCTATTCCGTTAATTAATTAACAACCTTTTCCTAATTTTCGAATTAACTAATATTTAAATTTAACTAATATTATTAAAAAATTTAACTAATTTAGCTAATTAATTTAAGTTAACGCGTCACTACGACTAAACCTACGTTTAACTAACTAATTTTCACTAAATTAAATAAAGTTCACATAATTCACAATATTAATTTATCACACTTATTAAGTAATGTCTCAATAATTAACCCTAACTTAAATCATTATAAATCCTAAATTAGGCATTAACAATAATTGCTAATAAACAAATCCTATAATTATATTTAAGCATATATAAACTCATTTGAATTAAATAATATTTACATTTAACTAATATCATCTATAATTTAACTAATTTACGTAATTTGAATTAAATACAACTTAATTCATTATGTTTGAATTACACCTATGTTTAACTAATTTTAACTAATTTATTTCGTTAATTAATTAACAACATTTTTTTTAACAACATACATTTAACCTATGTTTGAATTACACCTACGTTTAACTAATGTTAACTAATTTATTTCGTTAATTAATTAAAAACATTTTTTTAAATGCATTTAATTTACATTTAATTAATATTAACAAAAATTTAACTAATTTAGCGAATTAATTTAACTTAATGCGTCACTACGATTAAACCTACGTTTAACTAACCAAATTTCACTCTAAATTAAATGAAATTTACATAATTAATAATCTCTCTAGCTAATTTAACTTGTTATTAGAGTTAATATGAACCAAATAATTTACACAAAAAAACGTAATTTAAATTACATACCTTATCTGCATAAACAGTGAAAATGATAGAAGATGGCTAGATTACATCCTTCAAGGTGTTGTTTGTTTTTCGAAACAGTTTGTGTGTTTATGTGGATGAACCAGTGGCTGCATATATGGAAAAACTAGTCACGGACGTAGTCACGGATGTGTCCGTGACTACGTTCATCCGTACAAATTACCAGTTCGAGTTAACTTTTTGGGCGTTGGAAAATTTATTTTTAGGCCTAGTCACGGCATTAGTCACGGGTAGATCCGTGACTAATTTGAAATTCAAAAAAATCCCACCGGAGGCAAACGTGGGTTGGCCGGAATATGGTAGTCACGGATATAACCGTGACTACGCGTAGTCATGGTCATATCCGTGACTTTTTTTTTGGAAGTCCGTGACTACGCCCGTGACAAACTAGTCACGGACCAAATCCGTTACTATTGTCCGTGACTACACGCGTGTTTTTTTGTAGTGTCGGCAACGGGATACTCCAACTCTCGTCTCGTCCCGATCTGTTTTCACCCCTAAGGTTTTTAATGAGCTAACAATAATATACCCGTAGTAATAGATTTCAGCCCAAAAAGTAAAATTTGGGTTACTTCTGCAGCTGATAATAAAAATCAACCAAAAAGACCATTTGTGAGCTGTTTGGTGATATTTATGTATATCCTCCTATCTTATCAGACTATTTTTACTCCTCCAAA